CTTAAAAAGAAGAAGAAAAAAAGTGAGCTAATAACTCCCTGAAGAAATTCCGCCCCCAGTATTTTGGAACTCAGTTTGATAAATACCATCTTTTCTGATTTAGGCTGTATTTTGCTGTTTTGTTAAGGTGCTTTGTTGGGGTTGGATGCATTCTGTCAGTGCTTAGAGGCCTATGGAGGGAAGTCTTTTCTAATTCCTCTGCCTGTATTCACACCCTCCTGGTTTTGGCACTTTTTTCTACTTTACTAGCTGTAGAAGCAGTTTCTACCTACTTTTACATAAGTATGTATGGCTTCCTATGTGATTATGATATGTCTGCTTTAATTCACAGTTCTGTGTAGAGGTTTTACATGGCACTTAAAAAATTGATCCAATTGCCAAGACCGGTTTGGCTCAGTGGATAGAGCGTCGGCCTGCGGACTGAAAGGTCCCAGGTTCGATTCCAGTCAAGGGCATGTACCTTGGTTGCGGGCACATCCCCAGTGGGAGGTGTGCAGGAGGCAGCTGATCGATGTTTCTCTCTCATCGATGTTTCTGACTCTCTATCTCTCTCCCTTCCTCTCTGTAAAAAATCAATAAAAATATATTAAAAAAAATTGATCCAATTTAAGAAAAATTGACCCAACTTGAAAGATAAAGGCTCTTCTAAGAGATGCTATCAGAGTTATTTAATTTTATTTAATAAGTTTTATTTGTGTCATAATCAAATCTAAGATTTTATATGCTGTTTTGTGGTGATTTTTTTGTTTTTTTGGGGTTTTTTTGTTTTGTTTTTTTGGTAACAAGGAAAATATAGATCCAGGAGATTCTAATCTAATTCATATCTTAATTCCACCACTAACTAGCTGTGGGGCTTCAAAGGTCGTTTTAGTTCTGTTACTTCATTTGCAAAAACCAGGATTTTATTATATGTACATGTTGCTGGAGTTGCTCATCATTTCTGTAATGGTTCAGTGAAGAAGGCAGTCATAAGATGTCCTCTAGCAGCTTTTACATTTGTAAAGAAATAGTGGATTTATTGACTGTATGCTTTTCCCCTTTATAAAAGTATCATGGGAAGGGTCTTTCAGGGACTGTTCCATTTTTATTACTCTGACATTTTGTAAATAAAGAGCAACTGTTAATGCTAATAAATGATAACTCCTGTTTTGGAATTAGCCGTCCTGTACTTTTAATGTAATAGAAAGAAACAGAAAGTGCCTTATCTTCTAAACTGTTTTGATAGGCAAGGCACCATAGACTATGAGTGACAAATTAGAAAGCAGGCATCTATCTGCCTTTCATGTTAGGCTTCCTGTTAGCTCAAAGAAATTCTGTCTTTTCCATTGCTCGTTGATCAGGTTCATCCCTTCTCAGAAAACAGTTAGTAGGACTCTTTAGGCTTTGGGATTTATCCAAGCATTTTCCCTAAGCAAAGTTAAATTCTCTCCCATGTCTTCATGTTGGGATTGTATACTATTTTAGTTAAAGAGTTTTTCCAGCTTTTTTGAGTTGAGATCAGAAGTTACAGACTAAAAGGAATGCTGGAATTATTTGAAAGCAGGATTTTGGAGAAAAGGTGTTCAAGTATTAATTAATTCATTGTTGTTTCTCACCTTATTCTTGGAAAGGATTTAAGGTGATAGGTGCATACAAAGACTTTCTCCACCGCCAAGTTTTGTGAAAGAGTTGCTAAGGTTCACTTTCTCACCTTCTAGTCACTCTTCCACCAAGAATTCTGGCTCTGTCCTACTCACAATACAGGGTCTCACAGCAGGGTTACCAGGGATCTCCTTCCCTAGCTAACTGGACACGGTTCTTTATTTGATCTTGCTATAGGATCTAAAAGTGTCTGCGCCTCCCTTTTATGCACATTTTTCCCCTGATTATAACGGTGATATACCAGTATTGTGAAATTTTTGGAAAAAGACATCTGTAATTTCTATCCAGAAAACCTTTTCCTCATTTAAATGTTTCTATGACAACTGTCTTATTCCTTTCCTCCTATTCTCTTGTGTTAATCTCCTTACTAGGTAGCAACAACTAAAAATCATCCCAAAAAGGCAGCTTCTGCTTCCCCCTGCTCTAGGTCTGCTCAGCTACCATTGTTACCATCTCACTAGAAGGTACTGCTCTCCATCTAGTTGCTGAAGCCATAAGACGAGGACGCAACCTTTACTCCTCTCCTTCAATCTCCATTTATAATTAGTGGCTAAAATCCTGCCTGTTCTTTCTTACTAATTCATTTACTTGTCCTTTTTCCACTCATGACACCTTAGCTTGGACTCTGGTTATTTCTCACCTACCTCAGTTTTTCCAAAAGCACTGTCTACTTTGAACCTCTTAGGAATTCATTTATCTCCCTTCAGCGCTATTTAGCTTTGAAAATCAGGGCTTCTTTGACCTCTTTCTATACCCTCAAAACTAAACTTGGTGCTGAGAGTCCCCTCTCCTCTTCTCACACACTCCTCCCTTCTCTGTATGCCAACATTTAGAGCCCCCCCCCCCCCAAGTATCCCAGCACCCATACTACCCTTATAACACATAATCACATTCTGTTGTAATCGCCTATTATCCGTTTCCTTAAAGGCAGCTTTTAGATCTTATTCATGATTGTACAGTAGTATCCAGCCCAGAATGTTTAGTAAATTTTTCATAATAAATGGACAGAAGGAAATGGGTGGCCGTTAATATGAAAAAAAATTAAAGATGTTATGTTAGTTTTATGGTTCTGGATGCCTTAAAATTTGTATCTTAAAGTGATATGATTGGCCTTTGTTCACCTGTTCCCGTGGTAATGGTTCTGTGGACGAGCTTCCAGAGTGTGAAGTATGATAGTAGGGCAAAGCAGGAGGGGAGCTGATAGGCTGGGAGCTGATCTTATAGGCTGGCTGGAGTGGGCTCCACCACCTGGTGTGCAGGGAAGGGTGGGCTTTCCTGTGGTAACAGCAGTGTAGCAGAGATGAGATGGCTGTTTAAGTTAGGGCAGTTGTACTAGGGATGAAGAAGAGGGAGCATATCAGTGACTTCGTGATTGGATGTGGGGTCAGGGTGGAGGAATCGAAGTGACTCAACTTTCTGGACTGGGTACTTGATGTAATCATTAACTAGTTTTGTTAGTTTTTGAGATTATTTTTGATATCCAGGTGAGTATGTCTGCTAGGCAGGCAATAGGATATGAAGTTTGGGAGAGCACATCAGTGGAGAGTCATCAGTTTGTGGTCTTTAAAACTAGAAGAGATCACTTAGATATATGGCTTGCGTGACAATGGTCTAGAAAAACAAAACTCTGAGTAACACTGAGTAAGGGCAGGAGAAGAAGAGATCTGGGAAAAAGCAATGTCAAAGAAACTGAAGGGTTGAAGTTGAAGAGGAAATTTGGTGATAGGCCATAAAATTTTTTCAGCTTTAAAGAGAATAACAAGAAAATGGGTCTGTCTTTACCTGTCAGGTTGAATGCTTCAGTATAGACTGTCTGCTTGGCTTTTTGTTGGGCAGTTCCACCTTACCCCTATTGAGGCAGTCCAGCACCCCAGCCCAAATCTGGAACCCATGACACTCTTACACCAGATCTAACACATGACCTTTAAAGTTCCATTCAAGTTAATCTAAGGTTAAATACAGATTCTGGACCCAATCCCAGAAATTCTGACTCAATGGGCCCAGGGATCTTAAATTTTACAAGGATATATCTTGTCTCAGGAACAGTCTTGTGTGGGTAGGTGCTATATCTCTGCATTTTATTTAATTGCAAGAGAGCAGGACTTTATTATAGAGAACTTTAAAAATACAATTGTGATAAAGAGATTGGCAACCATGGAAACCTGGCTGGAGCTTTCTGCAGTGTCTGAGGGAGTGAGGTGGGGGTGGGAAAAGCGCCACCGTCTGATGTAATCTATTAGAGATGCAAAGTTTTTTTCATGGATCTTTGCAGCAGATGCCCTTGGTGCCCTTGCTCATATGGTCCACCAGTGATTTCAACCAGAACCCAGAGTTCTGTTTCTTACTCTATACGTCTTGCCAGGACAGGGTCTTCAAGGCTTGCAAAGGAGCGGAGAGGTTAATATCCTAGGCCAGTTGGGAACTCAAGCCTAAATGTCCTGTCTTCTTCAGGAGACCCACAGTCACCCTGATTGCATCACATGGTTTTGTTAGCTTTTCTCCTTCCATATTGTACCTTTCCTTCCCTCCCTTCTGTTCCCTGGGATCATCTTCTATTTAATCTGCTATAAAACCTTATCTATTAGTAATGTGTCATTTGAGCTGACTTTACAGGTTAATAAATGCAAACAAAATCTGTTTCTTCTTAATGTCCCTGTCTATCAATTTAGCACCTAAAATAATGTGTGGGGGAGGAAGGCAAAGAGAGAACATATTGTGCGATGCAGAATGGTACACACATTGCTCGAGTTTAAATTTATCCACAGACATTCTGTAATAAGATCATTATGTGAGAATTTATTGGATTTTTTAGCAAACTCTATGTCTTTCATTTTATTTAGGAGTTGAAGGGATATGGAAAAAAAACCCCAAAAGTTTTGACACAAATAGCTCTAGATGTGCCTCTTTTTTTCATTTATCATATATTAATTTATCTATTTTATTCATATATCTTCATCTTATTCTTGAGTTATGGGTGGTTCTTTTATAAGACCAAATTACAGAATATATAATAGAAAACTACTAAAATGTTATCGTGCAGAAACGGGAAGATCTTTACAGATTTAGGATATAAATTACCAAAGATCAGAAAAAAAGATCTATTTCAGGGATATCTTTTAAAAGATACCTGGTGTGCCTTAAATGCAAGATTTCTGTTTACTTAGCTGGAAGATACTCATATCCACATTCTTTTAGCTTTGACTGGACTCTAGGAATTAAAAGTTGAAATGAAAGGTAAACTTGTTCTGGATGATCACTTTCACTCTTGATTATTAAAGCTGGTATCTGAAAGCAGTTACCACAGAGGCTGCCACACTGCAGGTACTCACTCAGTAAGGTTATGGGGCGAATGAGAGGAATATGCTGAATTGCCCAATATGTATGTCTTAGACTGGTGTCCCCATGAGTGAGAGTAGATGAAAGTCCATGTTCTTAGACTGCTCTTGCCTCACTCCACCAACCTGGGACTACAGATGTTTATTTTGGTCTGTAGGTTTATTTTGTAGGAGACCAGGCATCCCTACAGAACACTTTCTTGTATAGCAGTGGGCTATTTTGACATTTAAATGATGAGATCTTTGGATAGATAATCTGGTATTCTGACCTCTCAGTTAATATTTCAATGCAGACTCAGAGTAAGTGACTTGTCCAAGGTAAAAATCATCCTGTGTGGTTAATTAGTGATATGGCAAGGACTAGAACTCAGATCTCTGCATGTAATCATCTTTTTGTCTGATTTAAAAATGGCTCCCATCTCTACCCCAGGTTAGAGAACAAAACAAGGCACTTTTTTTGAATTGATTCCAAATGGCTTGTAGAATTAATAAGAATTAGAGGTTCTAGATTTGACTTACAATATTCACAGAAAAATTGGCAGTGAGGAGATTATACAAATAGATTATTTAGAAAATCAAGACTAATAGATGGGCAAAGTACATGAGCAAACAAGTGAAAAGTTATAAACATATGGATATTCAACAGTGTGGGAATAGCTTATAAAACAGTATAATACTTTTTATAAACTTTTGCAATCAATAAAATACTAGTTACAAATGACTTAGAAATAGTGTTAATCTACTAGGAATTCTGAATGAGTTCCTTTTCTAGTTTCCTTTCTTCTATACTGCCTTCTACCTACTGGAATATATTCTGTAGATTCAGATTTCTTTCTTTTAAGCACTAATTTTATGTATAGAATATTGACTAAATGTCAGTTTTCTGAAATTCTCTCAGTCTGTCCACTGAGTCTAAAATTCACCAACTTATTTTCTGGCCTATACACCATGGAAAATGGTGAGTTTGCTTTTGTTATTCTTGATCTGTACATTAAAAACTAGCTGAAATGAGAGTTGGTAAAGATTTAGTGAACTGATAGAAAATGTTTCTATTATTTGCTAGAACCATCTGAGTGTAAGTAAAAAAAAAAAATTCCTAAAAACAAAATGAGTATCGTAATCAAATGTGTATTTCTTTTCCGTAGAGCCTCTGTTATGCACCTAAAACCATATTGGAATCTGCAGAAGAAAGCACAACCTCTTCAAATTAGCAAGGAAACTCTGAAAACTTCCATGAGCCACCAAGAGGCTATACATAATGAAAAATGCGAAGCTAGCTACATGAAATCAAGTGTCTTTCCTTCCACCTCTCCTGGTAAAGCATCATCTCGACAGCCTTTTGGGGTCCTTTCTCCAAATGTTCTGTGCAGCATGAGTGGGAAGAGTCCTGTAGAGAGCAGCTTGAATGTTAAAACCAAGAAGAATGCACCATCTGCAACAATCCATCAGGGCGAAGAAGGGGAAGGGCCGCTTGATATTTGGGCTGTGGTGAAACCAGGAAATACCAAGGAGAAAATAGCATTCTTTGCAGCCCACCAGTGTAGCAATAGGATAGGATCTATGAAAATAAAAAGCTCCTGGGATATTGATGGGAGAGCTACTAAAAGAAGGAAAAAATCAGGGGATCTTAAAGAAGCCAAGATACAGTTAGAAAGGATGAGGGAAATCAACAGCAGGTGCTATGAGCCTGAGCCTTTTGCGTGTGGCATTGAGCACTGTTCTGTGCATTACGTGAGTGACAGTGGGGACAGTATCTGTGCTGGGAGGCCTCTGTCGGTCATACAGATGGTTGCCTTCCTGGAGCAAAGAGCCAGTGCTGCTCTGCTGGCCAGTTGTGCGAAAAACTGCACTAACTCACCTGCCGTGGGGAGGATTTCTGGGCAATCCAGAGGTGGGCCTCCAGCCTCTGAGCCCTTTTCTGCCCCAGGAGCTTGTGAAGAACCCATGGAAAGGGGAAATCCTGAGGTTGGTGAACCCCAGAGTGAGCCAGTCCGCGTCCTCGATATGGTAGCCCGGCTGGAGTCTGAGTGTCTGAAGCGGCAGAGCCAAAGTGAGCCTGGGAGCCTCTCGAGGAATAACAGCTTCCGTCGAAATGTAGGCCGGGTGCTGCTTGCAAACGGCACTCAGGCTGATGAAGGCAAAACAAACAAAGGCGCTTTGGAGGCCCCTGTGTCTGTGGAATGTGGCCCGTCAAGAGCTGACCATTGTTCTCTTGAGGGGAAGCAGGCCTGGGATGGGGCTCCTCCAGGCTGTCCCTCATTGCCAGCAGGTGTGAGTTTCCACATGGATAGTGCAGCAACAGAGCCAGATCAGCACACTGCTGTGAAAAACAGCAATAGGTATGATGTAGAAATGACAGAGGAACCTGAGCCACCTTTTCCTCCTCAAACCTGTCCCCAAGCCACTGAGTTGCCCACAGATGCTGTTGAAGAGCTTGTGCCACAAAATCCTGATCAGCGAAGAAAAGAATCTGTGTGCATTAGCATCACTGTGTCTAAGGTGGAGAGAGACCGGCCTTCTAGTTTAAAGTCCTGTGGAGACCCACTTCCGGGGAGGCTGTTCTTTTTGCTGCCTGGTCAGCAGCAGTCAGACTGTTCCCAGTTGAATGAAAGCACAACCCAAGAGTCTCCAGAGGCCAGCCAGCCTGAAGATGGTGCTGAGGGTGGCAGTGCATCTGAGGAAAAAAGTGTTTCAGCTGATTCGCTCGTCCCAGCGCCAGCCCCTCCTGTGGAAAGTACAGTACCGGTGCTCGAGGCCTCCAGTTGGAAGAAGCAGGTGTCCCATGACTTTCTGGAGACCAGATTTAAAATCCAGCAGCTTTTAGAACCTCAGCAGTACATGGCTTTCCTGCCCCACCACATTATGGTGAAAATCTTCAGGTTACTTCCCACCAAGAGTTTAGTGGCTCTTAAATGTACCTGCTGCTATTTCAAGTTCATCATTGAATACTACAACATCAGGCCAGCAGATTCTCGCTGGGTTCGAGACCCACGCTATAGAGAGGACCCTTGTAAGCAGTGCAAGAAAAAATATGTGAAAGGGGATGTGTCCCTGTGCCGGTGGCATCCCAAGCCCTATTGCCAGGCATTGCTTACGGGCCAGGATACTGGATGTGCTGCCATCGTTCTCAGAAAGGCTTCCCCGGCTGTAAGCTGGGGCTTCATGACAATCACTGGGTCCCTGCTTGCCACAGCTTTAATCGGGCAATCCACAAGAAAGCAAAAGGGACTGAGACTGAAGAGGAATACTAAAGTCTATGTGAGAGGCGACCAAATGGCTGATTTTTAATACTGCAAAACACCACCTAGACTCACTGTTCAAGTGAGTGTTGCCTCTCAGAGCCATCACTCTAGGAGAATCTGTACCTGTTCCTTCAGGACTGCTTTTGGGCATTTTTTCATTTACAAGCTGTACAAGAAAACTGGTCTCGTTGTTTTATAGTGGCGCCTCCCATTTGATCCAGGGTGGAAGCCCAGTTTGATTCAGTTGGCTGTGAATAATTATGCCGGTTTTCCCAAATCAAATCCATCCTCAGAGGACGAAGACTTGCCATCATCAAGGACAGACAGAAAAGTTCATTGCAGACTATGCAGGCAGTCCCCAAAAAGGGGTTCCAGAAATTTCTGAGCACTGGCAGGCACCATATTTGAAATAAGTGAGTAGTGTCCTATGGAAAGAAGAGCAGCAGTCATGGATGAAAAGTATGCTTATGAAGGAGAAGTCAGGCACCTTACCTTAGGCCTTGTATGCTTGATCCTGTGAGATTGATGTTTGTGGATGGAGATGGATTTCATGCCCTGTGGTGTTTACAGTGTATATAATGGTTGTGTTTTCACAGGGCTGTGAAAGTGCACATTAAACCCGAGCGCCTTTACCTTAGATGAGTGCTTTTGGCCCCTCTGTATGTAACACTATTAAAACCCATTTGTGTATAGTGGACAGCTGACGAAATATCATCACCACAATGCAGCTAGGATAGTGTTGCAGCTATAATTGTGTGTGTTTTTTTATTGTTTCAAATTTGTATATCCTGTATAAAATATGAATGTTTTGAAAATAAACTATGAATGTTTCCTGTATAATATATGAATGTTTCTGATAAGAAATTCTAAATAGTTAAGAGTACCTGTTGAAAAGATACCAAATAATGGTTTAACTGGACAACCTTAAAATTAGCATAGAGAACAATCCTACGTTATATTTTAGTGATTCAACAAGATTGAGAGATTATATAGTCAGATTATAACATTCTTGTCTACTTTATTCTGTCTGGTTACAAATTTTTTTAATTTCAATAAAAACATGCATCTTAAATGGGACCTGAGTTGCAGATTTTTTCCCCTTCTTTTTGCAAGTAACAAAGAAGGATGTTGTAAATTGAGTTGTAAGAATTAAAAACTTTTTGAATTGTTATGGGGAGGGGGAGAGAATTTTTTTCTGCTACTGAAGAGAGACCATCTATATATATAAAAAGCCAGCAACCGGAACGCTGTAACGACCAGAACGACCGGTTGCTATGACGTCCACTGCGGCCAGTGAACTGGCTCGATTAGGGGGTTGAGCCAGCTGGCCAGCCTTCTGCAGCCCCTCCCCCTGTCTGGCCCCACCCCTTATCGGACTCTCCCACCCCGATGGAGGGCGGGGCGGCCGGCCAACCCCCCCACAGCCCTTACCCCTGACTGGCCCCGCTCCCAATGGGCCCCCACCACCCCGATTGGCCCACGACTCCTCCCACCAGCCAGCTCTGCCCCCGATTGGCCCCCCCACTCCGATCAAGGGCAGGGCCAGCCAGCCAACCATCCATGGCTCCTCCCCCAGGCCACTGGCCCCCATCGGCCCCCACCACCCCATTCTGGGGTGGGTCTGGCTGGCCAACTTCCCGCTTCTCCTCCTCCTGACAGGCCTGACCCCGATTGGGGCCGGGCTGGCCAGACCCGACCTGTGCATGAATTCGTGCACTGGGCCTCTAGTTTTAAACATAACAAGCTTACATTTTTGCACCCCTTTAACACTTGCTTTGAGTTTGTCATATGCCCAACAACCCCTGTATTTCCTGTTGGATGAGGTGTTATCTGACATTCTTACAGCTTGTCTGGGCATAATTAGTCAGTTGTTCAGAAGTCATTAAGATGTATTCAGGCCTATGATCATGTACTGCTTGTTGGGGCTGGGAGGTTTTGGGCCCCAGAAAGCTGCTGTGGAGGATCTAAAAATTTGGTGGCTTGAAATCAAATACCCACCAAAAAAAAACCTTGCAACCTCTGTAAGCTCTGGGCTGTGGAGACGTAGTGGTAAATGACCCAGTGGAGGGGCTGATCAGGAAGTGATGAGTGAGGGCTGTGCTGTGATGGTCCCAAAGGAGAAAGATGGAAAGGTTGAGTAGGTGTTGGCCAGGTCTGCCAAGCAGCACCGAAGCCAGATGGAGCAGGAGTCACCTGTGGCTGAGGCGGTGGTGGCCCCTTTGGTTTCTTCTGCCCTTATCCTTAGGCAGTATCTGCTCCTCCCTGAACTACAAAGTGTTTCTTGATGCTGAGCAGGTCTTCCCTGTTAGAAACATCATAATGACACTTCTGATAAGCTGGATCCTGCAGGCTCACTGATTGTGACTGGACTGAAGAGAGGCTGAGAACACTTTCCTTCTCTGGTCTTTGGCCATTCAGGAGGCCCTTGTGACACCCTATCCTTGCCCCATGAGAAGCACCTGCTGATGTCCACACACCAGGAGGGGCTATTGCACTGGCACCACAGTCTGACTTTGGGCATCAGCAGTGAGAACGAGAAGAATTTTACAAATCCCAGAACCCAAGGTACTTCAGGGGTAGGCAGGGTCAAGAGTACAAGACACAGAACCCGTCTTGGTTTGAAGAAGGGTCATTTTGTGTTTGGGATCAGATTATTTGACCAGCTCTTAAGAATCAGGAAACCCAGTCTGACCCAATTGAACCTCCACGGAACCAGCCCCTCCAGCAGAGATGTGGGGATTTGGGGCTGATAAGCTCCAATGCTGTGTCATGGCCTCTTATCAAGGTTACAGCTTTGCAAACGTGGCTGTTTCTGTTTTCATTTTCCCACTGGATTTTAGTAAAGTTAATGGTGAGTGTCCTTCCTCATGACTCACCCCAGCTGAGGTATGTTGGAAATGCTTTTTTTCTTTTAATTAAAATTTTTTTTCCAATTATACTTAATATACATTATTACATTAGTTTCTGGTATAAAACATTGTGGTCAGATATGTATATAGCTTATGAAGTTATATATGACTTATTTATATGACTATGAATGTTGGAAATGCCTTTCAGCCTGAGAGTCCCCTGGGCTGAATTTCCAGTGTTTGTCCTCCTTCCCTGTGGTTTGCTCTAAACCGGCAATCCCAATGGACCTTCCTATGTTGTGATTCTGAATGTAGGATTACCATTCGGTATATGGTAAGTGACCAGCAAGTTAGCTATCGTTGTTGGCTCTTAGGTCTACATTTGCTCAGAGTGGACACAGGATAAATAACACTCTTGCTTGGTTTTCCCGACTCAGCCGTTCCAGATCTGGTTTTCACATGGGACACAAGCTGTGACTGAGGAGCTGAACTGACCCGGAGCAGAGGACACAGTAAGAATAGCCCAACCCCATCTTGGCATGCCCTTCTCTCTTTTGAATGATGCGGCAGGACCCAGTTCCCAGTGCTCTGTGTGAACCATAGAGAATTTTAGCAGGTGGCATCAAAGGGTAGCCCTTCCCTGGTCTCCATTTCTCCCCTGAGGAGAAAGACGCTGTGCTTCAGAGCCCCCTAGTGCCAAGCTGGGGAAACTGCCCATTTTTTATTTTCTTCAACAGTCCCAGGCTACCTACCTCCTTCCGTTACACCTTGCTGTAGATATTAGACTTGTAAGAGTAAACAATGTGGGCATCAGGATCCTAGCCCTTCTCCCTCCCCCACTCAAATAAAGAAAACTTCCCCTTAGCTTTTGCTCAGAGGCTCAGATCCATTTAACCTAGTTTTTATCTCCTATCCCTCACTTCACCATTTGGAAGAAAAACCAGAACCAGAGAAATCTGGAAGAATCAGTGTGGCGAGCCAGCTCAGCCAGGTTTGGTGAGCCTGAGAGGGGGCGGTGAAGGATTGAGAACAGACAGACGAGAAGAAAGCTGGGTCTGGGTGGGAGGCTGTCCTCTCTGATGGAGACCTAGCGACAGCGCCACAGCCTGAAAGCCATGTCTTTATTTTATAGTGAGATTCCATGAGGCAAAGTAGGGCGTGGTCAAAATGTTTACAACATTCTCGTGGGTTTCAAATCTACTCAATTACATGCACGTGAACTCTGTCAAGCCCACATCACTCAGCCATGTGGGACCACAGGTTCAGACCATAGGTTCAAGATTATAACTATAGCCTTTGGCTATAATGTGCTGGGAGGGCTTTGCCCTCCAAGCTAGGACTTGCCGTGGCTTTGCCATGAGAGGACCCTGCCCTTTTATTAGTCCGAGGCTTGAACCTGCCCAAACGCTGTAGCTGCTCTCCACAAATCAGAGAGCATCTTCCCCATCTTTGGGAAGTTTGACTTTGCCCCTTGCCCAGTGGAGATGGCCAAAGAAGAAATGAATTGGAAATGGACAAAGGGCTAAGATTAAATTTCCCGGCCTTGTCAAAATGACTCTGGCTTTAAAGTAGCCACGTGAAAGGATCGATCAAATTGACCACATCCCCTTAGCACATTGATGGCTCTGCTCAGGAGGTATCTTCTTCGGGACCCCACCCCCAACCTTGGCCTGCCCACTGGGTTTGGCTGGGCGTACCCTGTGCGTCTATCATTTCATTCCCATTTTTGTATCTGGACTTCACTCTGGGCCCAGAGAGGGCAGCTTGGTCATGCCATCCCCAGTGCCTCCAGTACACCCTCATAACATGTTTATATTCCCCTCTAGTGGCCATCTTAATATGAGGGGTACAGGCAGATTCTTACTGCTCTGGGTTGTTTCCCATCTAGTATGAGAAACCTGAAGGGCGGATAAAGGGATCTAGGAAGCTCTCCTCTGGCCACAGCTGGCCCCATGGGAACGTTCTTAGGGATGCTCCACGGCAGCCTGAGGACTTCTGCTGGGTAACAGTCAGTGTGCATTTGGTGTGATCTGGGTTCTGTTGTTGCCAGGGGCTCCCCTGGTGGCAGGCTGCTATGGGCTAACTGCAGAAGGTGAGGGTTACGCATGATGTTGGAGTTCCCTTCCTGGGCTCTGTCCAGCCCTCCCCTCCCCTTCTAACTGGAACTTTTCAGGGCCTCCCTGCCAACTTTTTTGGATAGGCTTCCAGCACTTTTTATTACATGGGCATTCCCAGGCATTTTCCAGGGCTTTATTTGCCTTCATTCTTTCTTTACTCAGCTGACTGGCTCTTCATCCTCTCTTTCATCCCATAGCTTGCCACAAAAAAATGACAGAATAAAGCCACTCTGCACCAAAACCCTTCTTGCCATATATTGCAAACTGCACCAATAAGAGCTGGTGTTATCTAGTCTTAGTGTCTGTAAAGGACCACATTCCTTTAAGTGCATTCTCTGCTGTGCTAAGCACCCGACGTGTCACTCTGAGAATCTGATAGCTTCTGTCCCCGTTTTCCTTTGGGTTCAGACAAGCTAGTGTTGCAATCTCTGTGAGTTGGTGAAAGTACCTGTGTGAGAAATGTGCAATCCCTTGTATTGACATGCACGCCATTCCTAAATTTGTGGCCATAGCTGGTGTTTGCACAACCTCATGGGAAGAATAAACATCACTGTGGTTATGCACCCTTGGGTGGCATCCAGTGTATTTATAGCTAACTGGCCTAAGGGAAACCAGTTAGGCAGCACCCCAATTTTAGATGGCTTATTTGACCTTGGTGTTATTTTAAAAGGAACAGAGCCTCTTGAGTTGGTAGCTGGGAGCAGAGCAATGGCAAATATACACTACAACAACCCCCTCAAAGGCCCCACATCCACCTTTTAATTAGCAGGGAACAGATATCAGAACCAATTAATTTTAAGTCTCTTTGTCTCAAATTTTTTTGGATTAAGGAGGACTATAAGAAAGTTAAAAATTACAAAGTTCTACTAAATTTTG